GTAGGTATTTAGGATCTAAGAACTTTGGGGGCTTGGACGTTTAGGATCTAGAAGAAACTAGCTTTCAGGAACGAGTTGCAGGGAAGTCCTTCAACGGGATTAGGCTGAGGACCACAAGGAGTTTCGAAACGACATGATCTTATATATATATATATACATATATATATATATAATCATATAGATATATACACTTATACATATATATATATATATATATACATGTATATTCTGTCGCAGGGTGAACCCGAAGCTTCAAAGCTGGGACCCAACGGCCAATAGCCTAAACCTCCAACAGCAAGCCATAACGCTGGAAGCACAGCCGCAATCCGAAACACCGATTCCCGAAAACTCCGAACCTCCAAGCACAGGAAGACAACGCTGTCATCGACATTGCGACCTGCCAGGGTGCACGATACGTGATGCGTACGGTTTCCGGATCATCGAGAACACGCGCGTCAAATGCTGGCAGCGCACCTGGGTAGGTACGGTGTATGTGTGTACTTGTATGTATATATATACACAAATTAATATATAGTTTTTATGTGTGTGTGTGTATATGTATGTATGTATGTATATATATATATATATATGTATGTATGTATGTATGTATGTATGTGTGTATGTGCGTATGTATGTATGTATGTATGTATGTATGTATGTATGTGCGTATGTGTGTATGTATGTGTGTATGTATGCATGTATGTATGTATTCATGGATGTATGCATGGATGCATGTATGTATGTATGTACGTATGTATGTATGCATGTATGTGTGAGTGTATATATACACATGGGTATGCATACGCACGTACAAAACATAGATGCGAAACACGCTGTGCACATGTATGGCGGCACAATACATGCACTCAGCGCGAATAATATACAGGATGTACGTACACACATACATGCATGCATGCCTTACATACATACGTAGGTCATACATTTCGTGCAACATCGCCGTCTTGGGGAAGGGACATGTGTGATGCACTCGGCCGTCTTGTTGACAATGGCTCAGCCGGCCACCCGGATTCTACCTCTGCCGAAGTAGTTGAAACCTGAACACATCCGGACCCGTGCATCTCAGCTTGCCTTCAGGGTAAGCCATGAAATCATGGCATGGGGGGGCCCGAGGTGCCCGGCAAAGCGTGATTTTCTACGAGGAGTTCTGCAGGTGACGTGCCGGAGTATGGGTGGGTAGCCATAGGCTCCAAAAAGGAACCTGTGCAGGTATTGGACTTGATTTGTGTGTGTGTGTGTGTGTGCTTGGGTGACCCACTGAGAGACGGTCAGAAATCTTCAGGTGGAATCATGTTGGATCATGGGCATCAAGACTTCGGACTTGAGTGTGGCGTGTTTCCATACTGAGCCATGCTGCGGCTCCTTGCCATAGCTGCAGAAAGCTTCAGGGGCAGCTGAGCAGGGAGGGGCAGTGGGGTGTACACAAAACTGACAGACTGAGTTGGCCCCAGGCAAATGACGGCAGAATGCTATGCTCTCTGCCCGCCTCCGGAACAATCCCTCGTGCAATGACGCCTTTTCCTCGGCTTTCTTTGCAGAGGTGTGCCCATCTCCGATCGGATAAAGGAGCTCTCGTTTGTCTTCATCTCCTGCTTCTGTGGATGATGACGGCATCCTCGCTCTGTAGTAGCAAGCATGTGGCTTGCATGGATTGCAGGGACTGTCGTTCCTGTAACCCCCTTTGTTCTTGTGAGTCACACTTGCTGCACCCATTGCACAGCAGGTGCAGTAAAGCAGATCAAGATTTCGATGCAGAATCCGGCTGCTGTCTGCGACTTCTGCGGTGTCTGCTCAATGGCGCGCCCGCGAAGGCCGTCACCGCGGGCTGTGGAAACTTCGCCATGGGCCGACAGCCGTCCAGCGTCGAAGTCACATCACTTCACCACGACCTTCGAAGCACCTGCACATGGCTTCGGTTTCGGGTTCATGGTTCCAGAGTAGGATTTATTGGGTCGTGGGGCAGACTGCGACCCCGTCGTAAGCCCTCATCACTCCTACACGAGAGATCAGAACTCTGGGGGGGGTTGGGGGCCTTGGGGAAACCATCGCCCTCTCCAACCTCCTGACATCGCACTCCTTGTATCTACTTCTACTTGAGTATACCTGAGAGATGGGCCCCAATCCCAAAAATGTTGAGCAACACTGCCCAAGCAAAACCGGAGCGCCAAAACCTCCAATCCTAGAGGCCACCCTGTTCCCGGTCCTAACCCTTATCCCAAATCTATCCCAAAACTGAGCGCCAAAAGCCACCCACACCCCTAAAACCCCCAAAAACACCCTGAACTCCTAAACCCTGAAACAAAGAACACAACTCCGAAACCTTAAACAACACTGCCTAAACAAGATCCCGGGGTTACTTTTTTTATAGCATAATGGGCCCCAAAACCCTATCCTAATTGTTAAGGCCCCTATATTATGAACTCCCGGTGAATGCTCTCCCCCAGGGGTAGGCGCTTACAGCCCGGCGGGCAGAAAGTGCCAGCCAACCGCAATTTGGCGGCCTGGGAAGCAAAGCTCTAGTTCGGGTTTAGGGTTTAGGGTTGAGCTCTAGTTAGGGTTTAGGGTTTAGGGTTTAGGGTTTAGGTAGGGTTTAGGGTTTAAGGTTTAGGGTTCAGGGTTTAGGGTTTAGGTAGGGTCTTCTGGGCTTTGGGGAACCTTATAGGTAATTCATCTATAAAGGCTTGGTTTAGGGATGTTTTATGGAGACAGGGTGTCGGGGGGTTGGGGGTCGCATAAATACGTTTCGTGGTGTTTCTTCGGCCGCAGCTTCGTGACTTCATGGTCGTGTAACTTTGTTACAAGCTGTGCGATTGTGGCTACTGCCGCTGGTGCTGCTGGTGATAGGATGATTTTGATGATGTCGGGTGGAGGATGCGGGTTCGACTGAAGCTGAAGCTGACGAGAATCATACGATGACGACGTGGTGAACGAGAGCTGCATCTATGCAGATCACATGGCAACCCGGACATACAAGAGCTTCAGAAAACACAAGACCCTACACATGTCACAGAAACCATGGCACATGGACAATAGCATCAGTGCCTGCAATGAGGCTGCAAAGGCCGTCTGCTCGGTGGAGGAGAGACGATTACCCTGCAGCCGCAAGCCTGTCGTTTCGAGCTGGGGGTGAGGAGACTCAGGGCAGAGAGAAGTGTGCCAATTCAACTATATCATGGTACTCTGAAGCTCCCAGCTGCGTCTTGCACTGTCTTTCTCTTCGCAAGCTGTTGCTGCGATTAAAAGACGACAGACGAGTTCTAAGTTAAAACTTGGCTCTCCGAGGCGCCTGCAGCCATGCCTTGGTGCTTCCAGACAGCCTGTTGTTGCCTACTCGGCAGGAACTGCACAGCTCAGGGACTCGACCAAGTCTTCTAAATGTTGTGCAAGCTGCTTCAGGCAACAAGAAGAATCTTCTGAAGCAGTTGGTTCTCAACTGCTTCAGACGATGCTTCTTGTTGTCTGATTCTTCTTCTTATTATTATTATTACTAGCATTATTACTATTCTTATTACTACTATTATTGCTAGTATTATTACTTGGCGATGGTGCGCCCTCCGGCGATGGTGACGACCAGGCGAGTCTTCTCAGCAAGGGTTGTCAGCTCGTCATGGTCGGGCAGAAGAGTCGATGCCCTTGCCAACACTTCAGCCACGTTCTTGGCCAAGTCGGAGTGCCGATGCTGCTGTTTGGTATCTGCCACTTGCTCCTGCGGTGGCGGCTCCTCCGGTTTCGGCGAGTGTCTCTCGGATGAGCTCCTCGAACTGCTGCGATTCGTCTGCTTTTCGCTTCTTGCCTCGTGGTCGGTCTTGCTTCATGAGCGAGCCAAAACCTTTCCGTGCCCAGAGTAGTGCCCAGCACACGTAGCCTGCGAATGCAGAGATGCAGCAGTGAAAAGGGGTGAAGTGCATATCGAACAGGAGGGACAGCAACTGAGCGTAGACCGAGTGGCCCATAGACCCTGCGATTGCTGTCACGAGTCACAAACATGTTGGCCCATTCCCGCAACTGCCTTGCCCCTTTCTCCTCGATGCATCCTGCCGAAGTAGACGAACGTGAAGTCCGACTTGGCCCGCAGAAGAAAAACGCCTAGCAGCAACACCTGCTTTGGTTGTGATGACTGTGGATATCCGGCGCGGGTATGGCAACGAATCTACATCCTAATTTACCATATTTAGCCACATTTACGTAACACGGAAACGTGGCAAGCAAACTTGTCGTGCACACGACGGCGTGAAGACTCCGCCACAACTATGAAACAAGGTGGCTATCCTCCACGAGGCGAGAGGCGACCATGTGCCGAAATGCGCCGGCTTGCGGACGGAAGCCACGGCGCTTGCCATGCTTAATGTAGGGGCCTTAATAATTAGAATAGGGTTTTGGGGTGTCTTCTACTATATCTTATCATAAGGAACACCAGAATAATATAGGCAATTATCACAAGGCCCCTACATTAGAGGAGAGCGCAGGATCGCAAAAGGCGGAGGCTGAGGCGAGGAGAATCTCGGAGTCAGACTCATGCGATATCACAGCAGACCAGAATAATTAGAATAGGGTTTGGGTGGAGGGTTTAGGGTTTAGGGTTTTTGGGTGGAGGGTTTAGGGTTTAGGGTACTATAGTTACAGTAAGGAGCCCCCCAAAACCCTATTCTACTTAAGGACCCTACATTACTTGGGCAGCCAGCATGCTTGTGGACAAGGCAAATCTGTTCGGAGGACACTACGGAGGGAACAAAAGCGAGAGGCTAGGGTTTAGGGTTTAGGGACTGAGCAGGGAAGTTGAGCGAAGCGCTTCCTTCAAGAACGGACAATGACAGGTAGAGCCACCGGTGAAGGATGCACCAGCGCATATACCTAGCCAGCTACACAGGCAGGTCCTACCGCCCGTCTGTAGTGTCCTTGAGTTTGGGGCTGGGAGAATTATAGAAAGCTCAAGCAGAAGATCTGTGAACTCCAACACCAAATTTCGGTAAGGTACGACGATTCGTCCAATCCTGGTCTCTTGACGTTGACGGACTGTAAACCTGTGAGCCTGGGTAAACCTAGTAATGTAGGGGCCTTAATAATCAGAATTGGGTGTTGGGGGATCCTTATCATAGTTGTAGTATAATATTTAGGGTTAGGGTTTAGGGTTTAGGGTTTAGGGTTTTATAATATAATATACCCCGAACCCTATTCAAATTATTAAGGCCCCTACATTAAGCCCCAAAAGCGCCAGAACCCTTCCAAACATGATACACATGAGCTACATACTACATCAAGCCCAGAGGTGGGAAGAAAAGGACATGATACGCACACTATGTCACTCTACGATGGGACCCCCGCCCCTGCCTAACCCTAAACCCTAAACCCTAAACCCTAAACCCTAAACCCTAAACCCTAAACCCTAAACCCTAAACCCTAAAGCCTTAACAAAAAAAGCTACTGTCCCGAGCCCGGCCTGGGAAGGGCCTTTTGTCATGCGCCCTCTTCAACTCGCTAAGTGCATCGCCCATGGCGATTTCGTTCCTTGGGCAGAAGTCTGGGCTTAGGGTTTAGGGTTTAGGGTTTAGGGTTTAGGGTTTAGGGTTTAGGGGTTTAGGGGTTTAGGGTTTAGGTGCTATCAACATAAACACCCTAAACACTTAAACTGAAGCCCTGAACCTTGAACGCTAAACTCGCGGGAAGACCCGGACAGGGCTGAATGCTAGAGACCGCCTGGCCGCAGAACACCTCTGAGGCGAGTGAACTCACAGGCCAGATGCGTTTAGGGTTTAGGGTTTAGGGTTTAGGGTTTAGGGTTTAGGTTGTCAAAATTAGGATCCCTTGTTGGGTCCTTATATTATAATACGGCACCTATTACCCAAATAGTAATAGTACATACTATGGATCTTTGACCCCAGAGTACCCAAATAGGGACTACTTCAAGGCCAAAGTATATACTATTTGGGTACATGGACCCTGGGGGAATGGCTCTGAAATCAAACCCTGTTAACCCGCAACTACCATCCTTACACCTAAGGACTACCTTAACCTGCCAAAGCCTACTTTGTTTTGTAGGGTCCCTATAAATTCCATATTAGGGTTCACAAAAACAACCACAAAAAAGTAGGTTTTGGTAGGTTAAGGTAGCTAAAGACCTTCAGCCCCAGACTCCAGTTTGATACGAGATGCCAAACCTTTTGAACCCTAAACCTGTCCAGCCTAATATAGGGGCCCTAATAACTAGAACCAGTATACTATAATTAGAATAAGGAACCCCCCAGAATAGTATTGGTAATTGTTTAGTAGGCCCCTTTATTAAACTCCTGCTGCCGGAAAGCCTACAGCTGCCCTAAAGCCCTTATAACGCCCCTGTCGCCCTGTCCTAAACCGAAGACCTAAAACTCTGGCAAACCGTCTCTTACATACGGGGCATGGAGAGCTGGTTATCCAAAACCCTATAAATCCTAAACCCAAAACCCTAAACCCTATAAATCTTAAACCCCAGTCTTGACAAAGACGAGTTGCCGTTCAAGGCCCAAGTCTTGTACGTGGGAGCTGGGTAGGCTCCTGTAGCCGACATTCGCGGATACATTCGTATGTATGTATGTGTGTATGTATTTATGTATGCAAGTATGTATGTATGTATGTATGTATGTATGTATGTATGTATGTATGTATATATGTATGTATGCATGAATTTTTATACATGTATACGTACATGTCAGCGTTCGTTTGTTCATCTATGTGCCCTTCCTGCTTGTGACATGATTTAAACCCTAAACCCTAAACCCTAAACCCCTAAACCCTAAACCCTAAACCCTAAGCCCTAAACCCTAAGCCCTGAACCCTAATTTACGATTTCTGTGTTGTTCCAGGCTTCTGTCAGGCGAGCGCTTTTCTGTCGGCCGTGGACCCTCAGAGTCCTGGCTTACCCTGGGTTTAGGGGTTCTTTAGGGTTTAGGGTTTAGGGTTTAGGGAATTATAGTGGCCTTAAGAATTAGGATGGGGTATATTATAATAAGTTCAAAGCAAGGAACTCTAGTTTAAAGGGGTTTTACCAATTATAGTGGCCTTAATAATTAGGATGGTGTTTAGGGGTTGTTTACTAATTATAGTGGCCTTAATAATTAAGATGTGGTATATTATAATTAGGATGGGGTATATTATAATATTATAATAAGTTCGAAACAAGGAACTCTAGGGAGCAGGATTGGTAACTATTCCGGCTTCTAGATTAAGTGATGACTGACTGCCAAGAACAACATGAAACTCGTGCTCCAGGCAGCTGCTGCAGCGGGCGGCTCCTGCTACTTAGACTTCTACGGCTTCTTTTTCTCCCCCTGACGATGAACATCATGAAGCCTATGAGAATTGTAGTGTAACAGTTGCTACCATGTCTTGCAAACCGACCAGTTGATGACATCACTCACCACGAGCGTTGCGCAGTGAACTTTCAGACATACCAGCCCCTAAAACGCCAAGTCTGGTGATCTGGCAGACAACTTACTCCTCAAACCCTAAAGCCCTACTGGAACATACCTGGACCCTAAAGAACCTTCCGGCTTAGGGATCCTTATCATGACTCCTTGTGTAGAGTGTACTGTAGGAGGTCCTTAACAGGATAGGTTTAGGAGGGTTTAAGGTTAAATCCTAAACCGGGGATCCTGGCCACGATGAGGAGACCCTCGCGCCGCAGGTTGTTGCCGGCCAGGTCAAGTCGCTCCACACCTTGACCCCCGAGTTTCATTTGTGTCCTGTTTGACATTCAGGGTCTAGGGTTGGGGAGTTTATAGTTCAAGCCCACAAGTTGGAAACCCAATAGCCTCAACCCTTAAGAGCACTGTATGGGGGATCCCAGCACTTTTTGTCCCTAAATCCGGTTTCCAACTTTGTGGGGTTTCTATAGGGTCTAGGAAGTTTAAAAGCTTACGGTCTTGGGTCTTCAGGCGAAGTCGTGACGTTAGAGGGTTTGCTACTTGGTAGGTGGAGTCTGGCCTCTGGTGTGCATGAGGTACGATGCCTGAATCTGAAACTACTTACCATGGTGATACAATGTCAGGTAATCCGTTGGAGTGAGGCTCCTCACGCTTCGCTCGTTCGACGCCTCTCTCTCTCTCTTGGTCGAGATGAAGACTTAAGCCAGGCTGGAACTCTCAAATCCCTGCGACCGGAGCCCAGCTATGGATTTACTGGGCCTGAAATGGGGGTTTCCGAAAATAGGGGACCCTAATATAGTACCCTAAATAAAAGGATCCTTATTATAAGGACCCCAACATAAGGTACCCAAATTTTCGGAAAGTCCCATATGTCTGTAGGACCGCACTTGGCCTTCGGAAGCGGTCACGCGATGCACATGTTTTCCCATGGCCACAGTGCGCTCAGAGTGCAAAGACAGCCAGTATCTGCTAAACCCTTAACCCCTAAACTCCCCTAAACCCCTAAACCCCTAAACTCTAGACCCTAAACCCTAAACCCTAAACCCTAAACCCTCATCAGAGTTGCTCACTGAACTGAGGCCAGGGCCGTGTCTAGCCCACTGGGTGATCGCCCAGGACCCGACTGCTTTTCGGAAGCAGCTCGAACGCGATGTGCTGCTGTGCTTCATGTTGTGGTGGGCGGCTAAAACTGCAGTTCGGAGCAATCATGCGAGATGAAAGCTAGATTGCGGCTCAAAGCTCTGGTGCCACATGTAACCCCAAGCTCTAAACCCTAAACCCTGAACCATCATTCGACGCGTCATCTCATGGAACCTGTGCTCCGCACGACTTTCCATTCCAGAAGCTTCAGAAGTTATAGAGAGCCACATGTGCCGTGCAGATGCCAGGCGGCAGTGTTCTTAAAGACGACATAAACCCTACACCCTAAACCCTAAACCCTAAACCCTAAACCCTAAACCCTAAACCCTAAACCCTAAACCCTAAACCCTAAACAGTTAGTTCCGCAAGTGTGGGCCCCATGCCTTCGAATGTGCAGCATGACATGCAGGTGCTGCAGGACGCTCTCTGACACGGTTTAGGGTTTAGGGTTTAGGGTTTAGGGTTTAGGGTTTAGGGTTGCGCCCAGAGACGCCAAAACCCCTTAATTAAGGAAATATGCCTTAAATTATAGTAGGGTCCCTAATATGATTTAAGGTATATTCCTTTTTTGAGGGGTTTTGGAGCCTCTGGGCATCTGAGTCAGCAATCTGGCAGAAGATGCGGACAGATCAAAAGAAACACCCATGCATCCCAGGTCGATACTGCAGCCATAGTTGCAAGGAAGACGAACGAAGGGTGCTTTGCCCGAAGCTTCCCCAACCAGACCGCAGTCAGTTTTTCAAATTTTGAGTTTCGGAGGAGATCCATGAGCATTTCCCCCTAAACCCTAAACCCTAAACCCCAAAAAACAAAGCTCTGGAGGAGATCCATGAGCATTTCGATCATCTCGAGGCTCCGAGCTGGCATGTTCATCTCGACGCAGGGTGTATAGCCTAAACCCTAAACCCTAAACCCTAAACCCTAAACCCCTAAACCCTAAACCCTAAACCCTAAAACCCCTAAACGATCTTTTCACCACGGACTTCGAGTTCTTTCCAAGCCGAAGCTGCAAGCGATTCCGAGTTCGGAGGCCCGACTTGCAGCTCTCGAAGGTCTCGACGTCCGAGTCCAGGCGAAGCCTGGGAGGGGGTGGGTTTAGGGTTTAGGGCCTTTAGGGTGTAGGGTTTAAGCTTTAGGGGGTATTAATCGCTTCCCCCTATTACTAAACACCCCCCTAATAATTAAACTGCCGGCCCCCGGGATTTCGCGTTTTCGGGCCCACAATTGAAAGTTAATCAAAAACATTAGGGGCGGCCTAGGGATTGTATGAGTTTTAATAGAGCCAAGACTACAGTAGTACTAAACCAAAGGACCAGGGCTTTAGGGGTCAAGGGCTCAGGGCTAAGATTTTAGGGTTTAAGGCTTTTGGGTTTAAAGCTTAGGGCCTAGGGTTGTTTAGGGTTTAGGGTTGTTTAGGGTTTAGGGTGTAGGGATAAGGGTTTAGG